CAAGACCTTAAAACAATATTAACGTCAGTTAGGAATAAAGTTTTTTTTGTGGTGTCCACGATGAATGGATGTCAAAGCAGTGTCCTCACAAGGATAACTACGCAGACTTAGGGTTGGTAAACTGAAGACAGAGGTTGACCAGTCCTCACTTCCTGATGCCTCTAAGGACTTGGTGTTAGGGCTCTGTTCAGAGTTTTAGGTTAATAAAACAAACATTTAGTTGAGATGGTTAATGTTTGTTTAAGGGGCTCAGATGTGTGGAATACATTCAGCACTAACCCTTCTTCCTGTATAGAATCTCAACCATTAAGGATCATCGTTTTCTCTTTCTCAGTTTAACCTACATACTTCCTTCTTTCATTTCCCTTAATTCCTTCTTATCCCAATGGTTTCCTGGGTTTAACTTTTAATCTCATATCCTGCCTCATGAATTAAAGGACATTGGTGCTGCCAATAAACACACACACACACACACACACACACACNACACACACACACACACACACACACACTCAAACACAAACAGGTACACATAGCCATACAATAACTAGTGACATATACGACTGTGATGCCTCAACCTAAACATGTGACCAGATCCCACCAAGATCCTCTGCAGTGATTTCCTTTGTGAACAACAGGGACACAGCAACAGTTTGGGGGTTGATGTCTGATTGACCGACTCACTGGCGTGTGTGTCCTTGAGTTCACGGAGCAACGTTGACTTGAACAGAACATGCGTTTGATACACTGACAGTCATTTGACGTCCTCATTTCCAGCCTGCGTATTCTTTTAATATTAAGCAGGGGTACAGAACAAGGCTCCATGATGATCAAGAGGTGTAAAGGAGCAGCTAAAGCACTCTGCACAGCTTGTCAAATTACCTTCCTAATGGCCAGATTGTCACACCGCCTCATCTCTGTGGAGAAAGAAAGGCCAAGTGGGCGGGGGGGGGGACCATTCTCTTCCTTGTCACAGCAAAATCACTCATTCATCTATTTATACGTTACTTTTCTTCCAAGTCCTGCTTCTCAAGTACACCCTGCTTGTATTCAAATGGTAGTAATGACTTGCCAGTGACTTTGAGTGGAATGAAGGGAGAGGCCAGATGTATTGTGGGCCTGTCAGTCGTTTGTCTGCACTCTTTCAGAGTTGCCTCCCCGAGCTTTAATAGGCTCTCCCATTATGTTGAGTTAATCATCATCACCTGACCTAAGTTATCAGCAGGAGGTCAAACACAAGATTAATTGATGCTCCTTAATTGCAAGATTCAATCATAATGGTCGGTTTTTATATCTCACACTTCATATTCATGACTTTATTACTGAATTTTCCATCACAGGAAAAAATTGTGTTCCACATTAATTTGACAGCTAAAAAATATTGTGTACAAAAGTATGTTTCACGTGTATGTTTTCTATATGTCTGAAATCCCATCACCCTTGACCCATTACAAATGTTTATTATCTGTGTATTACAATTTTACATGAGAAATACAAAGTGGCAGTTTCAAACTGCTCTGGTTCTTTGTTCGTCCTTCTACTATTCAGAAATGAGCCCATCCTGGATATGAAGGCCACCATCTTCTGGATTTGCAGCCAGAGTAGCAATCAGGGAGTGGAGCTGCGGTAGTGAGGTCCCGTTGATACACATGCTCAACCATGAGTCATTCTCAGCTGTCAATCATTATGCTTTACTCTGTTTTATTAACTAATTCAAACCAAACTTTACAGAAAAAAATCAATTATAATGACGATGTTCTCAATGTTCATGGAAGAGCTAAAGCCAACTACTGTCAGCTCAGCCAGGAAGATTCATTCAATCTGCAGAGGTAAGAAGTAATATATTTACTCATACATATTCAGGGTACTTTGAGTATCCTTTATTTTGTGCTACTTGTATTCATTAATGCACTCCATTCATTTTTACTTTTACTGTACAACATTTATTTATTTGGGTTACTCACATACTATTGCATATTCAAACTCTTAATAAAAATGTAATTGGCAAATTGATTTTGAGTTATTGTAGATGAAATTGTTCAACAGTACATGAGTTAAATTAGCCCCACCTTTACCAGCCGTAATAAGAGTGATGCCTATACATAATTCATCAATAGTTATAATCCAATTATGTAATAATAATAATTATGTAATATTATTCTGAAGTGGATAATTCTGCATAATGAGTACTTTTACTTTTGAACATTTAGTATATGATTATGCAAATACTTATGTTATATTATTTAAGCAAAATAGTGAAAGCTTTTACAATGGGTTTGTTCACTTCTGTTCTCTTTGGACAATAAGTGTGTACCTTTTTCTTGTTTGATAGAACATGTGTGTGCGCAATTGGTTTCTACTGTGTTTATGTAATCTGTATAAAAAAACATTACGCCACATAACTATAATTCCACAAAACCAACTGGTTTTGACTTCATGCTGATTTTCAAAAAATACTCAAATCATTTGCCTAATTCTATTGTGAATCTATATGTTTAGACCATAATGGTCTTTAACTTACCATACCCATGGCACCAAAAACTTTTGTCAGTTTAAAAATCTTCATGAGAGCAAACTGGGTCCTGTCCTTATTGCTTTTCAAACCAAAATAATCATCCCCCCCATCCATCCAGATGAACCAAAACAAAGTATGAAAGTAGTTTATTGTTACCTAAGTCCAATTTCCTATTAATTTTCTATTCCTTTAATGACTCACATTCTCAAGCCCAGGCAGGCGCACACAAGCGCACACAGGCACACACACACAAAGAGGTATGTTTTTGCCATGAAGAGAAACCATTTGCTCATTTTGATGGAGGCCTAAAAGAGAGGTTGAGTTGTCTAAGTGGATTTTTCATTACTAAATATAATAGGGCAAAGAAAATTACAGCTGGTGCAGCAGGAGGAGTATTAGGATTGCTCATGCACTTTTTACATTGATGTTTGGAATGACCAAAGAGGTACAGTGCAGCTGTATAAGAGCATTAGAGAAATTAGCACAGTGCTCTCTCTCCCATGTGTGCGCTGTCTCTTCTGTCTCAGTGTCAGCCTCCACTCGCCTGCTATCTGTAATTTGGAAAGGTACATCCAAACTCACGGCAGAATGAAAAAGCTTATTTTATCCCCTGCTACAGCTCCAGACTGAGACAGAAGTAGAACACTAACATAATCGAGGAAATAATATTGCAAATGGAAAGCTATTAGGGTGGTCGAGCACTTTCTCATGCTGCTTCTGAAATATGTCATTTATTATGTGCCGCTGCTTGACAAACTCAGACTCAAAAATTGTAATTTCCTCATAATGCAGTCCAATGAACGCCGGACCCACCATGCACATGTCGTATATTTAGAAGGAAATGATGAAGGTCATAAGCTTCATATAAAGTTCCTATAAAATCTCTGGGTAAAGAACTCCCACGGTAAATGTTTGGCTTGTGTCCTGGCTATTCATTTCTCCTCACACTTTGGCCCTTATAACTTACTGCCTGGAACCTAAACACAACATTTCAGTATACATATACATAAATGCAGTATGTTACATATGTTACATACACAACAGTTAAGACGCATTTGAATGTTTTAAGGTTCATTTTTACTTCTTTGCACAATTGGAAGTTAATATCAAAATACATTAAAAGCTCACACAGGCTTTAAACTTTAAACTTGAACTCAGAATCTGCAAAGTAAATCAAGTCAAATTTTCCACTGTGAAATAAAGTGTAAGTAAATGTCAGCAATAAATGGAAATATTCTATCTTGAGTAGCACTTTATCTGACATTCAATCTTTAATTGATTAAACATATATTCTCATATATTTTCTTTGCTCTTTCACCCATTGATCTTGTCAGTGTTCTCCTGTGTGGTGATGGTGATCGACCCTCCGTGACACCACAGGGTTCTACAGTCGCTATTTTTAAGATCACACTCATATCACATGACCATCATCACCAGCAGCATTTGGAGTTTGCCCAGTTTGTTCTTGGTTTCTGAGCGATTTAATGACTTATGGAGGCTTAGAAGTAAATCATTAAAGTTCCTTCTTAGCAGGTTTACACAAAAACTACTGAACCGATTTTCTTTAAAGTTGGTGCTGATGAAGTCAAAGGGGCGGATCCAGGAATTTCTTATAGCTCTTTCTTTAACATAGCGAGATGAGGTTTTCTTTGACATTTTCAATGGTGTTGAAAGAAATACGAATCTTGATGAAAAAAATCAGGCGTATTTAGGGGACTGATATCTATGAGTGCAGCTTGATGAAGGACTGCTGGGCCTTAGCAGTTCTCAACTGAGTGCTATCCTTGTGTTCATTTTTATAAGCCTACATCATAGATTAACAAACCAAAAATAGAGTTGTATTCAGCATTCATGAATATATTTATCTATTTCCCTTTGTGTCCGGTTTCTTCTCTCTCTTACATTTCAACCTGTCCAAATATTAACATGTAATCTACTAATAAACAAAGTAAAAAAAGGTTTAGCAAGTGTATTTTGTTATACATCTACATCATGTTATACAGTTACAGTAAGCTGGACACTCAACATATAGCTATACCTGTCAGTATAATTATGGCTGTAATGCGTATGTACAGTATATAGTGAGGTTGCACTGCAGCATCACTTCCCGTGAGAGCGCACTCCCACTTATTTCATTTACTCTATCACCCAATACTTATTCAAATTGTACCCCTCTTACAGGCTGCCCCCCCCCCCATTTTATCCAGACCCATTAGCACATAATAGCCTATCGACATTCATAGCAGGGTCCTGATTTAGATGTTCAACCTGATTATACCTTAATCAAATGAGACCGGCTACCTAAATAGAAGTGCGCACAGTGGCATAAGACAAAAACATACATGTATCCTCTGCACGAGCACACGCTCGCCCCAGCATACATGTCCCACGGTGCCTTTATTAGCCTGCGATCTGCTCTTTATCAAACTGTGGTGTGAGGCTGTCGTCAAATTTATACTGACAAGAAACATTTATGCAGTAAAGATTTTTATTTTGTTTTATTTTAAAGATTGATCACAGAGACAAAGGAATAGCTTATACTGCTTTTAAGTACTATTTGCTTCCACAGAGCATTTCCCAAAGGTGCCATTAGTAAAACTATTAAAAACCAAATGAAACACAGTGCAGTGCTCTGGTTTGTCTGGTTATCCATCTAATTCAATTCAATACTCAATTGACGAGGAGAAATGGAGATGTAAAATTAGCACAATAAAGAGTAGGAAAGAAAATGGTAAAACCTTCAGAACAATTTTATTTCAGTATACAGTAAATAAATGTAACATCTGTGGTTAATGTGCTCATCAAAAACATAAACATTAATGAGGCTCAATAATGAAGAGAAATAATTGAAGATCACGGCCTCTCCTTTATCTTCATTTCCTCTCATTCTCCCCTGGGGGAGTATATTAAAGAACCATGCTACCCTTAGATATTTGATCAGTTTTTCAGCCAGAAGTAATGGATGTGCTAAACGAATGCAAAGGCTGGAAATTCATTACAACAATCAGAGAATGATTTTTTTTTTACCCTTCATTCCTCATCTCAAATGTCTCACTCTTATCTTTGCATAGTTATAAATGTCACATACATTCTGGACTGCTCAACACTGGAATTAATAGGCGAACAACCCATCATTGACACGTATCCTATGGATAAAATGTTCTATCGTTAGTCTATTTACTTTGCTTGGCAATGATGCAGCGCATATTGAGCAGGAAATAGCTCTCTGAATAGATGAATGAAATCCTCTAATGACAGAATGTCATATTCACATATAGCAGATGGGATGCATTGCGACACACTGCTCAGTGATCACCAGACATCCAGTTCACACATTCTGCTCTCTAAATCTGAAGCAGAAGGGCAGATTGATCACCAATCCCAAAAAATATCATGTGAGGAAATTTTTCAGGCAAAACTGATGTGCTGTGTTATATTTTGAATCTCTAATCACAAGCAATTTACTTTTCTGATACATCTAATTTGTAATAACTTCCTCTGAACCTCTCCTCTGTTTATTTCCTCCCGCCTCTCGCCCTCTGCTCCAGCTCCTGCCGTACCTTCTCACTGACCTGCTCTGCCTTAGTAACCACAGCTTTCCTTCCCTCTGGTTTGACCACTATGGTCATAACACAGCACATGTCCACCAGCTCCTCCTGACATCTCCTCATCCCTGCTTCAAGCTCACCTCGCCGGGCCGGGTCACGCTTCAGAGACGCCTTTTCCGCTACGGAGAAACCCAGCAAGCCGGTTAAAACCTCATCGGACAGCTCCACGTCCAGGTAACCGGTCCCATCAGATATCGTGGCGCAGACGCTCCAACCGCCGTTGCTGCTGCTCAGTTTCCCCAAGAGGGTCACGATGAAAGCTTTGACGCGCATCTCTGTGGTGTGGGGGTTTGCTGTGGTGTTCAGGTCTTCTAGCAGGCACAAGTACGTGAAAGGTGGCGAGGTGAGAGTTAGAGCAGGGACTGTGCCGTCACTCTGGGGATCTTTTTGAAAAGGTTTTCTTTCAGTGCTCCTGTCTCCTGTAAGTCCTTGTTGCTCAGGGAGCTGATTTTGCCCTCCAGTCCTCCCAGGTTGAACGCCATAGATTTCTACCTCTTCAAGAAAGCAGTCCATGTCCTCATCCATAAAATTATTCACATCATTCCTTACAAACTCTCCTTTATTGCAGCCTTCATAGTCTCTTTTCTGTGTGACGGATTTGGATTTGCCAGAACCAAACCGGGACCCCAAGCAGTTTGATGTCTGCTGCTCAACCTGTGCAGTTTGGGGTTTTGTGGCACTGTCCAAACTGTGAGGATGTCCTGTTGTTCTGCTGTTATTTTGCGGTGTGTTTCTGTGACTGATGTCAGACTGTGCACTTACATTTGTTGTTTCCTGAAAAATGACACTGTCCAACTCATCCAGGGGAAGATCGTCAAAGTCTTCATCTGGAAAGTCTTCTGCTGCGATGATGTGAGCTTGGACCTCTGGTTGATTCTCATGGTTGGACAGTAAGATGTCAGGATCCTCTGGTTCGAGGAGCTGACCTTGGACTGGACCACCTCTGCTACTCTGGGTCGAACCACCTCTGTAAGAATGGATGGAGGCTTCACTTCTGGAAGACACCAGATGTCCAACTGAGTTAACAGAGCTTTTAAACCATTGATCAGCATTACTGGGCTCACTGTTCCAGAGTTAAGGCAGGATAAAGAGATTCAAGTGTGACTTTTAAACCCATAACTATCAAGAACATTTTCATGGAGCTGTTACCAAGGTAGATATGTCAGATATCTTTCTCAACGGCTGAGTCTTTTTTTGTAACCTGAAGTTGGTCAATTTAAAATAACTTGTCGCCAGGCAGCTTGTTCTGATATGTATCGGATAATTAGCCAATTGCGTTTATTCTAATCAAAGTTTGCAGTAATAGAAAATTGTGATTATCAACTTGGACAGAGAGAGAAATGTATTGAAGCCCAGGAGTGAGAGCTCCACTTTAAATGAGACAGACTGATGCTGCTCTGCTGCTTCTCCTCTTTCAGCAGTTCACCATCTCTATAAAATATGTGTGCAGTATTATTAGTATCATTAAAAATGAACAAAATTTTTATAAAATAACTGTTAACACGGGCTCTAAATTACAGTGCTTAATGCTTCCTAAAGTAGCTGAACGGGAGAGGTGATATTTTTTCTGAAAACAAACATGCTAAAAGTCTAAATGTCAAGATATTTTTTCCCTGAAGACATCATATTTACACATCCCACCTGGATGAGGCTGTGGAGACAAAGCTCCTGACAAAGGAGCCTCTTGAGAACTGAGTTGAGGTCTCACTGTGTGTCCCGTAGCCACTCTCAGACCCAACCTCAATCCTCTGCACCTCGTCCTGGGCCTCAAGACTGGCCAACAACTCTGCGTCGTCGAGCTCCAGGTCTTCCATCTCGTCGTCAACTAAAAAGAAAACCAAAGGAGACTCTGCATCACGAAGGTCTTCAAATATAAATATGGGTAGTTTCAGTTTTGTAAACAAGGCTGTGGTGGTGTTATCAGGGTGCCCTTACCTTTTTAAACATGAAATTCAAGGACTTCCAAGGTAAAGGCATAGTTTCAGATACTAATCGACTGTTTCTGTTACAACCAAATATTTTTTTAATAATGGGAACTTGCAGGCTTTATAGAAGCCGACAGTAAAGAGCTGTGGGAACAATTCTGTTGTGTTACAGTCACAACAGACTATGAGCTCTCTTACCTTCTCTGACAGTAGAGTAACACAATAAATTGTTCAGGAGACACTTGTTGAGTAGCTGCGAGACAGCAGGAGACGCAGTAGCATCTATTTATGATTGTTAAGTAAGACAAATATGAAAATAATTTTAATATTTCTGCATGAAATATAGAACTCCAGGCACTTTCAATGACCCATTGTCTATTTTTACAGACTTTCTCAAATTCAAATTCACAAACTCAAGGAGTTCAAGGACCTGTGGGAGCCCTGTGTCACATATTCCAAACCCCCAGTGACCTGTGTGCCACATCATCTTCCATTGAATTCACTGATCTGAATTCTATTTGTCAGTTTACCTTGTTGTGGTGCCAGTGGAGCCTCTTCTCGCTCCTGCTGCTGCTCTTCAGGAAGACCCAGTGTCTGACAGAGCACCTGGCCCTGTCACAGTTGTACAGAAATATGCCACTCAAACTGTTAATATTATTAATTGCACATTGTACAATAAATGTGATTAGTTCCAGTTAATATTCAGAAAAAAACCAAACAAAGATAGTTAACAATCAATTTATGGCACAACACTTTACCTGCTTATTCCTGTCCACTAAGTCCTCCACCTCACCACCCAGGATGTTGACGTTGGACGGCCCCAACAGCAGCATCCCGAGTCTGCAAACCATCTGTCCCTGCAACTGCAGCTTTGCACCAGGCCTGGAAAATACAGTTTGTAGCCATAGTCAGAAAATCCTTGTGCTGGCATTGAAATAGCAGTTGCATGTTTATTAACTCTAATATTGATTTATTGACATCTTCTCCCAAACTGTGAGAAACACAAAATTTTAGGAAGGTGCTTGTTGTTTTTGTTATTTAGTCATTATAAGCAAAGAGACACTAAAAGTATTTAATAGAATTATTCTTTACCTGAGTGCTGTGCTGAGTGCAGGGATTGGCTGATATTCCATAGCCTCCAAGCTTTGGACTCCATCTGTCACCTGTAAATACAGACACTGTGTATGTGACCAGGAAAAAAACTAAATGGGGAAAATGCTAAAATCATTTAATTTGCAATGTTAAAAAGTTAAAAAGTTTGACATTATTTCTTCCCAAATTCTAAAAGTTAAGAAAACTGTTCTTTGCATTTTACCTGCAGCTACAGTAACAGTGTATATGTAATTCATGGTGAAGTAAAACTTTGACTGGGTGTTTTATTTTGACTGGCTTGGAGTTTTCAAAATGCAAAGCTGGTCAAAACGTACCTAAACATATCTGCTAACCAGTCTCTTTATTACCTTTGGCAGTGACTTCATCTGCTCATGATTCATGACTCAAAGTGGTCTGACAAAACAATAAAAATGGAAAGAAAAAAAAAAAAAACTTTTTTAAACGACACCAGCACTATTCTTGAGAAACCATACAGCAGTGACAAGTGTGTTACTTAAGATGAAAATTACAGTCTCAGCCTCATATTCTAGCAATTTACCCTTTCATTTATTATCACTGCTTGGACCTGTCCACTGTGATTCTGTGAGGAAAAGAAGCATAAGTCTTCCATTATTCTAACAAACCAAACATAAAGTCAAAGTCTGGTTGTAGATGAGTATAATAAAGGTTTAATATTGTATTTATGATATCAAACACGCTGGGGTCAGGACTAGTTCATTCATAATGTCCCAAAGTTTTGTCACAAACCTTGTTCATCGAAACTGTGATCACAAACTTTTCTATAAAAAATAATAATACTGCTTTGACTGAATAGAAGAGCTTTCCCCAACAAAAGAAACCTGGTAATCACGAGTACTCTGGCAATAAACTGTGAAATGCTGAAAATCGTTTTACTGTTGTTAGTGGTGGAAGAAAAAATCTTCTCTTCAAGTGCAAAGAGCCTCTAACAACGTTTTTTAATTTCATTTCAAAATACACATAGACATGCTAATTATAGATAACTACCCATAATTATTTTTTTCTAATTAACTTAGGGTTTTAAGCCTGAGAAGTTCATGTTTTCCTCTCATCACAAAGTTCAGATTCTCTTTGTTGAGAGGTTGAAAAATGATCCCTGATTTCTTAAGTTTAATGCAGCTGTTAAGTACAGGTTCAAAAATCTTTTCTGTTTCATAAATGTGTCTGACCTGCAGTAGTAGCATCCTGGTCGGTCTGGCTTCCCAGGACCTCTGCGTGGTCTGTGTGACGGCAGACACCTCATCGTTGGTACAGTCCGTGCCCCGCAGCTTCTGCAGCTGACTGTACGCAGGCTGACTGACGTCCAGCAATGAATCAACCTAAAACAGAACAGGATCTGTGACTGCCATGGAACATTGATGTCCTAAATATCTATTAATTATTTGAAACTGATACTCATTATTACAGAATAACCAGGGTTTCTGCAGGTTTCAACAACCTGGATCAAGTACAACAGATATGAAGGACTATCAGAGTGCCAGAATAACTCACACTTTCCAAAAGAATTTGTATTAATTTAAAATTAACATAAGTAAGACCTAACTAAATGTACCAAAGAGATAATATTTACAATTTCAAACTATGTAAGAATTTTTTAGGTCCATTTTTTTTTTCAACATTTTTGACTTTCCTTACTTTTTAAGACCCCCACAGAAACCCTGCTAATATAGATATACCATTCTGTCTTATTTGTGAGTGGAACATGCATCTCGTGGTTCCTATTGTTGTACATTCAGTATATTTAATTACAGTACTCTGTCTCAGGGTTACTAGCTGAGTTTTTCTATTTTCTTTGTTATAACATGGCTTTTGACTGTCCTCCAATCATCGCTTTTCCATTAATCGCTCAACAGCCTGGTATGTGATTTTTTTCTATAATTGGCTTATTGGAATATATAATCTGTATCACACAAAAGAACACACCAATCATGAAAAAGGGAAGAGAAAATATCTGGAGAAAAAAATTGCCTTGAACCAAATATTTAGAAGATACAACGTAACAGATAAAACTGACCCTCAAACTGCAAGGAGACTATTACAAACTTTACACTTTACAGTTATACAATAGCCGTTTTGTTCATCTTCTGGCCTTATTTCTACTGTAGATTGATATATATATTATATCATATACACGCCTGTACCTGGACACAGAAGATGCCACTGAGTTCAGTCTTCTGAGCCTCAGCGAGTCCTTCAGGGAGAGCAGGGTAGTCCAGGTCCCTCAGGTCTGTCATCAGCCACTGGTCCAGCGCCTAAAATTATACATTAAGGCACCAGGTTTTAACAGGATGGCAATTCTGTCATTCACATCAAGTTTAATAACAAATGTGAGACCTATTTCATGTCACCCAGAATTAGTTGCTTTCACTTGAATGACGGAGAGGTATCGCAGGTCGTAAGACTGAACAATCAGTGAAGCTCCCAGTAGAGCACATACACAGAGAATTTCTCAACAAGGTTTTTATCTTATTTAACTTTATATTCATGCATTTTTATATCATATGTGCAATACTGTTTGTCTGTTAGTATTTTGTTTAGATTGTACATATTTCTATTTTGTATAGTTCCTTGTGTTTGTATTGTATTTTTTATTACCTTTACTGAGTGTGTATTCACTATTCTATTTTTGCTGCTCTAACACAGTACATTTCCCCAGTGACGGGACAATTAAAGGACAACCTTGGCTTTTCTTAAATGACATGGATCAAAGATACAGTGAAAATAAGTTTCCTCAATACATCAACTCCAGCAACAATTGGCTACACTGTGGGTCAGATGTAAATTTGCTATCACAAACTTTTCCATTCATTGATGAAATTATTCAATTGTGACAGGGTTTTTGAGGTGTAGAAACTCAGTAGTTGGGTTAGTCCCTGCAGATTCTGTTTTTTTATTTGTGATATGACCATCTACATCATCCAGAGTACGAGGTCTTTGGAATGAACTGATGTCATTGTCATATTCCTGGAACCATCAGGGGATGACACAGAATTTGAGAAATGAAAGCTTTATCCTCCTCTGCTCTAGCTTGGAATAAATGTGAAGACTTTGACCATGCCACACAGCTGTTCAGCAACAATATTTAGGTACACTGTGGCGTACAAATGATGCGTCACTGCAAGAAAACGAACCCCACATGACGCCACCACCAGCTGGTATAGCTGACACAAGGCAAGATGGATTCATGCTGTTTACACGAAGAAAAATGTGCCCTGCTATCAGTGTGTTGCAATAGAAACAAGAATCTGTCGGACCAGGAGGTGTTCTTTCACTCCTTTAAATCGCCCACTTTAGCCCACTGTGGCCTGATCTTCTTATTCTCAGCCCTATAGTAGTAGAGATGTGGGTGGTCTTGGGCTTTTGTTGCTCATCTGCTCCAAGGTTCAGTGAGTTATTCTTTCTGTGGGCTGCAAATTTGTACTGTAGGGTTTGACAGTATTTGATGACTGGGCCACACAGTTTGAATCGCATCTTTTGAGGTTGCTTGGCGTGCAGTTTTTTTTTTTTTTTAACAGCCATGCAGCTGTTGTTTGGAGCAGTTATCTTATTGTTAATTAATCTGTGGATTATTTTTCTCATTATTTCCTTAGTTATGAAATATCAAACATTTCAAAAATTACTTATCACATGTCCTGAAAGCCCAAGGTGACATTTGCAAAGATATTGGTTTTTGAATGATTAAAGAAAAGCACCAAATTGTCAAATGTATTACATTTCTGCTACTGCAGGTGAAAAGGCAAGAACCATAGACAAGAGACTGGATAAGCAGTGGAAAAACTCATCAGCTGCCTGTGAACCAATATCAGTCACAGCCTCGATTGATGAGGGGTCAAAGTTCATCAACCAGTGGTCAGTCGATGGCTCATCACACACCTCAAATGCATGAAACCATTTTTTGAAAGACGAAGGAGGTAATCATCATCCCTGATTGTAGAGGCACTTGTGACCCATGGTTTAGACTTCAGTCACATCATAATAACCAAGTTATCTCCATGAAAACTAAGCAAACGCCACCTCCTGAGGACGACCATGAGAAGGAAAGCTACAGTGACAGCTGCTGACTGAACTTTTGAGTTAACATGTATTTTGAGGAGTGTGATACTTTTCACATTCACGACTACATAGTCAAATAATCAGACATCCTGCTTACCTGTTGGTTAATTTGCTGCTGTGACAGACGGCCAGTGCCTCCTGCCTCTTCCTGTAGCCACTCCACGCAGGCCTCCAGCCACGCAAAGGGCACCTTGACATGCCAGGTGGCCTGCAGCCAGGCTTGCGTCGTACGTACCACGGTCTGAATCTCAGGGGCCATCTTCTTCCTCTGTGTCGAATCGACTAAAGGCACTTTCTCTTATTTCTCTTCAGGAACTCTTCTTGTCAGTAGTTATTTTGAAGCTGTAGCCCAAAAAGTTGATTACTTTGGTTATTTATATTAAATGGCTTTTATGACTCTACTGGGAATAACATTATAACTGATAATTGTTTTATCTGCAGAATAAGTAAGTCCAATTTGCAACGTTAATGTAAACAAGGAAACCTGTATTTATATTTCACTCTGTTGCAAGTGTAGTATATTGAGGTGGTCAAAAGTTAATTTAATTCAATGCACAGCACCCTGCAATCTCTGGAGGATTCAAGTGGGGTTACTATGTTAAGGGGTCATCTTCTATCTAACTCGCTGAAACCACTTGACAGCCTCATAGAACCCACGGGAGAATTACATTCTGTTATTTTGTTGTTGTCATATCAGCATGGCTAAGCCCTGTGTCACTGCAGAGGGTCACGTCTGGATACTGTGGAGGAGAGAAGGAGAGACTGATGACTGCAGGCAGGGATAGCGAACACATCTTAACAAAATGTTAAAATAAAACTAAAAAACAATATCAGGGTAAAATTCTTCCCAAATCTTGGAAATGAAAAAGAAAGGATTTCTGCCGTTTTGGCTCCCCGATGTGCGATGACCCGTCAAATGAAAGAGAAGAGTGGGACACATAAATCTGTAAATACTTATTATAACATCATCATCATCATCTTAGTGGCACAGTATCCATTTGTTAATTTTCTGTGTTGATCTTATTCACTGCTCTTGTTGTTACATAGATTCTTGTGCATATGATTCTTTGATTGCCCTGCAGCACATGTAAATGTGACACCAATAAGGTTTACTGGTTGGGATTGATAGCATCCAGCGGGATTATAAACACGGAAGTTGTTATGAAGGTTACCTGACAAGCATGGAGGCTTCGAGTGTTGAGAGAAGCAGCCTGGGCGCCAAAGTTGACTAACCTAACCTAACCTAGCTTTACGCTCACGCAGCAGTACCTCAGCATTATGTCCGTGTGTGACCACCTCAGCTATAGTATCGTGTTACAGCTCCTTGAAATCAAACTGAGAAGCGTCTACAAGTTCTCAGAAACACACATTAACGTTGATCTTGTAGATGAAAACCTGGAAACAAGAATAACTTGAATATCCACAGTAATTTACACGCACTAACATAACCGGAAAAGAGGGTTGAAAACGCCTCCGCCCATGTGATTGACGTCTGTTCTAGCCAATCGTGACTCTCCGTGCTTGATTTGTTGTCTCCCTAACCAATCAGCGCGCTTAAGATCGACTAGTCCACTTCCCGGTTCGGTAGAGAAGGAAGGGGACGAGTGAGGTCTTGCGCCGCAGGTTTGTGTTCTTGACTATGTTTCGCCCTTTATTCTGCGCCACAGAGTTGAATACATCTGAACCGCACTGATACTGTAAAAGAATCGAGTCTTTAGGAGTCACTTTGTTATTTAATCTGTGGCCGCTACGACGGTAGCTAATTAGCTGACCCGGCTAGCTCCGTCTGTGCTCAACTGGAATCATGGCAATATGGCGAAATTAGCTAGCTGCTAGCTGAAGTGACTAGAGCTGGTTATCTTAGAAAAAGATCCGTGAGGAGTTTATCAACCCGCTAGCCTCAAATTGGTGACACGCCACGGTGCCTTGTGATGTACGTAAGAACAAACCAGTTTCACCAAATCGAGGATCAACAACAATTGGAATTGTTGTTACAAAACCATACGATGACGCTCGGAGCTAACGCATTTCCCTCCGGGCTAGTTAGCTGGCCGGGTAGCTAGCACTAGCGCTAGCCACAGTGAAAGACTTCCGTTGAGTTAGCCACAAGTGGAGCTAGCTAACGTTCGTAAAGGGCATAAGTACGAATGTTATCTCAGTTGTTAAACTGTTTAGTGATTGGAATCAACAAGTTGGAATATTTCCCCCAGATAAAATAGCAGCAGCGTTAAGTATTAGATTATTTATCGTCAATGTTTTTCGTTCAGGTCTCTTCGCTCGACGGAAGGACGGCTGCAGGAGCTCTTATGATAAACATAATATGCAAATCTTCCCCGTTGATGTCCCTCTATCATATCTAATAATAATATAACGATAATAGTTTATTTGGTTAAATAGCTACAGTGTTAAGTAACGTTTTCCATCACCCCCGTCTTAAACATAGATCAGATCAGAATCGATGCGTTTCAAACTTTGCTGTCAAGCTCCACCGAATGAGATCAGTGTCTCAGCTGCCTCTCCCTCCTTGGCAGGTCGCAGCAGCTGTTTGGTCCTGGCTTGTTTAGTTCCGCCTATCAACACGCCCTTGTCCCCGCAATAAATATCGATGTGTCTAGTTTTTCTTCGTCATTTCAACTCTAGTTCTTGATTAACCCGACGTCCAGCACACGAAGACTTTGTCTAATTTCTCCCTCTCCTCTTCTTACGATGTTGACAGACTACCAGAGCTCACAGGGGCCACTTATCTGCTTCTCTCTTCCTGCTGCCGCCTGTTCCCCGGACCGAGGTGCCCACCCCATCTCTCCCACCATCAGAAGACCATGGACTCAGAAAATGACCAGATTGACGATTCCTCATTTGGCAACACAGAGACCAACGGTATAAATCATCTTTAGGTTTTTGCATCTGAATACGAACCTTTTACACGTCTTTTTTTTTGTGAAACGATGTTTCTGTAGTATTTGATCATTTTCTGCTCAGATTCTTTTAATCTATAGGAAGTTAACGGAAGTTAACGTTGCCCAAAATATTTGGGCAACATTTAGGTTTAGCTTTCAACATAAAAACAGTCTGAAAATATAAATCTGTGAGACTATGGTTCACTTCTTAGATTTTATTTTATCTTGTGGTAGGCTGTGTATGCAGGGTTGTCAGTGTGTGTCTTTATCTCCTTATACCAGGTAAGCGCCCTGCTGAGGATGCAGATGAGCAGAAATCATTCAAGCGCTCTAGGAACTCAGAGGAGATGGTTGAGCTGCGCATCCTCCTGCAGAGCAAAGTAAATCAACTCCCTTTCATTTAATGATTCACGGTTAACTCCCTATGCAATTATTTGTATTTTTTTCTCCATCATCTGCACATTGCTTAAGACTGTTTTCTTTGTACCTCCTCCATGTTTATGGGTTTTTAAGGTATTCTATTGGTTGCCCTGATCCCGTCTTTAAAAAAAAAAAAAATCCTTTTATTAGGGGTTCATGTTTAAAGTCATTGTGCTTTTCCTGACCTACACAAAATATGCTCCAACACCTTGTCTGTTAATCGCATTTCAGTAGTGAACATGGCTTTTCATGTCCAGTTTTTGTAAGTATTCTCTGTATTCTCAGAACGCTGGAGCTGTAATTGGAAAGGGTGGCAAAAACATCAAAGCCCTGCGTACAGACGTGAGTACATCTATTTTAATAAAACCTGAATTTTTATTTTGTGTTAATTCATGTATTTTTTACCCTGCAATGGTCTTCAGCCTCTCAACCCTGCCCAGCCTCCATGATATGAGAGTTTATTTCTTAACAAACATTTACCCTGAGATGAAAACTTATGTTGGCATCTTTTCTTCTGTGTAAACAGGGGATGTGGTAAGCTGATGCCTGTGATGATATTAGCCTTCTGACAAACCCTTTGAGTTGGTTTTATGATTTTCTTATCACATGAACATCATGTGATTACCTCAGCTAAACTGGACCTAGGCACTTGAGTTCGATTCCATGTCCATCTGTTCCGCTATAATGATAATTTATTATAGCAGTCCTGTTGTGGCAACACTGATGCTCTTGTTAATTGAAATCTATGGGCACAGTGGAGTGTTTGAGGTCAACCGCAGGGCCTACTTATATTTCTTTTATCGAAGTGTTAAGGAAAAGTAGCCAATTATTAATTCATTTACTACCATTGCCTCTTTCTGTAGCCCTCCACATTTTGTTCTACCCCTCTTTCTCACTGTCTCTGGTCTATTCCCCAACTTTGAAGTCTTTATGTTTTTAATATGCCATTACCAATTTTCCAATGTCACATTTTGTCCTTTTCTCTCTTTGACAAACAAATCTCTGAGAGAAACAAATTAAAATTCACATTTGAACAGTGTAGAGCCTGTATATTAAAATGTATTCCTCTTCCCTCTCCCTTGTTTATTATTTTACTGTTGACTTTTTTGCCCACTTCCTCCTCTGTTGCCCATGTTCTGGATGGCCCCTCCTGCGCCCGCCCACCTGACACCCTGGTTGGCCCTGCCCATAATCGTGCCCTGTCCCTAAATGGGCGCCTTACTTGATTGACATCTGTGCTCGAATGGCCCTGGCCCCTGCCCATGCCACGCCCAGTACAATGCCAGTGTGTCAGTCCCAGACAGCAGTGGGCCTGAGCGGTATGTCCCTAAGCTCCTCCCTCTCACTGCCTGACTACAGGTCAAACAAACAAGAAGAAATGAATACTAGTCATCCTGCCTCTGTCAAGTCACTGTATTTTAACCTACCTGTCCTCACAGTGTATTAGCCTAAGTCAAAATGCCTAAATACGTTCATGTCCAAATCTGCCTGTTGAGCCTGTAAAAGTAATGTCAACATCCTTTCTATATGCAGTTTTTAAAATTACGTCAATATTGAAACTTAGGGTGGTGTTGTCAGGATTTATTCCACAATCTGCCACTGTCTTTGTAAATCTTTGAATTAATCTGTGCAATATGTCTTTATTTTAATTTTATTTTCATTGATGATTATCTATCCTCTTTATCTTTCGCGTTTTCATCCCCCCCCCCCAGAGTGGATAAACTGGTGTTTTTGTGTTCTCGTCCGTTTCATAAGCTCACCTGCTTCTCAAACCATCCCATCCTTTCCTTGTGTTCTCTTCATTGATAGACTCAGACTGTCGTTCCATTCTAAAATGCAAAAAGGCAAGCTAGGAATCAAGTGTCGTGTTTGTTTCCTTTCCTGTCTCCTGCTTCATCTAAACTTGTTTATCGACTGCTGGAGCTATTGAAAGTACAGATTACCTCTCTCTGTCCCACTCACTCATTTATTTTTTGGTTTTTATGTTTGTCGCTTGTCCAATCCCTTTAAAAAGCATCAACTCAACCGGTGGCAAACTTCATTTTCCATGGTGTAATCTGCCACTCTTCCTCTGCTGTCTACCATTCTGCTTCCTTGTACAAACTTTGCTTAAGTCCTCTTGATCAGTAATTCATTATTTTTTATTAGCTCACTAGGTGGATGCAGACAACAAAATACTACAAAATAAATTTCTTAGCTAAATTAAGTATCAAAATAGTCGGTCAAGTAAAAAAATCTAACACGGGGCCTTTGGCAAATGATATGAATCAGAAAGGTTTAATTCACTCTCAGTCTTCCCTGATAAGACAAACATGTGTTGAGCACATTGTTTTGCAGCTTTTTTGGTAGTCGCTCTTTGTGGTGTGCATCCGCCAAACTGCTTTAGGACTTTAGAGTTCTCTTTGGCACCATCGGTGCTTATTGCTGCCAGATCTTCCTCAGACTTCACCTCCCCCGTCTTGCCCCTTCAGTGGTCACCAAATGCAGTCACTTTTCTTTGGGTCCCTTTTTTATTTTGTCTCTTTTCTTCCTTTCTCTGGACAAAATACTTTTCTTTCTTGTATTGTTTAAGTACGAGCTTTCTTTACAGTTACAATGATGAATTACCAATTACCAAGCATGTTAATATCAAAAATGGACATCAGCAGTTTATTTAGCTGTGTTAGTCTCGGGAGAGAGTTGGTTAAATGGGGTTTGACAGCTTTTCAATGGCACAAGAGGGGGACATCATAAATTCTCTGATCTGAAATTTTGTTTCCTCCCCCCCCCGGATGCCTTGTTGGCATCCTGCACCCCACCCTTTGTGTGGCTGTGCTCTGCCTTGTCATTGGTGGGTGAAATATGAAGCATCCTGAGCATCAGTGCCGACATCGAGACAGTTGGAGAAATCATGCTCAAAATTATCCCAACTCTGGAAGAGGTGCGCACTGAACTTTTTATCTTTCTTTTCATGTCAAGTCCAGTTGAACCCACTGAATGAAACAATTTATTTGGAAGTGAAAACAATGGTTAACATTAACAATTGTCACCAAATTATCTGTTTGTCAGTTATGTTGCAGAGATTCATTCTGATCAACATAGATTTACTGTGTGCTGTAGTTTTGTTTAATTCCTTGTCTGCACTCTGTTTTGAGGCTTAAAATGATTATTTCTGATGGCTAAATAGATTGAATCATAATATTAACAAGCTAAATGTCCCTGTCAGTACCAGCAGTACAATGGTATGGATTTTGACTGCGAGCTACGATTGCTGATTCACCAGAGCCTTGCTGGCTCGATCATCGGGGTGAAGGGAGCCAAGATCAAGGAGCTGCGGGAGGTATGTGAATACAAGAGAATCAATCGCTTTTTTTGACAGTTAAATTAGTTGAAAAGCAGTTTATGGATTCAAATTCAAGTAATGTACAGCATACATTCTCTGACAGCCTTGTCTGCTGCCAAATTAATGCCAATTGTCCTGTAACTCGTTTTATATTTAGTGTGTTAATGCATTTTCTGATGCCTTCTCCTGGAGCAATCCTCTGTGTCATTGAAGACTTGATATACATCAAAGATGTTCTAAGTTTATGATCATGATCATCTTTTATTTTAAGTATAATCAGCTACTGTTTTATATAAATAGAAGCATTGTCTCTTTCTGGGCCTGTTCACATGAACCTGTGTCTGTGTGTTTCCAGAACACAAAAACCAGCATCAAGCTGTTCCAGGAGTGTTGTCCTCAGTCGACAGACCGGGTGGTGCTGGTTGGTGGTAAAACGGAGAGAGTGGTGGAGTGTATCAAGACGATGCTGGAGCTCATTGCTGATGTAAGAATCTTGTGAAGCGCTAATGAGGCTTTTTATTATGTACCACTTTGAGACATTGAAGCAGTTCATTTAATCAATTTTTAATGTAGCTTAGTACAAGACACTGAAAATAGCAAAACAAGGATGTAAACAGAATTTGCTGCTCCAGCTTATTTTGAATTTTTTGGGTGACGCATTCGAACATTATGTGAGTTTTCTCCCCCCACATATTGTTGCTTGTAGATTCACATTTATTCTCTGACCACCTGCTTTCTTACAGTGTGTACTATGCATTACAAATTGCCAATAAATGTCCATCTGTCCTCCTCCCCTAGGCTCCCATTAAGGGCCGTGCACAGCCATATGATCCCAACTTCTACGACGAAACCTATGAATATGGTGGATTCACCATGATGTTTGAAGAGAGGGGCGGCGGTCGTAGGCTTATGGGAGGGTTTCCCATGCGTGGGGCCAGGTCTAGTGCAGTAGACCGTGGATTCGACCGAATGCCCTCAAGCAGAGGGGCACGCGGACCCCTGCCTCCTTCCCGCCGGGAATACGATGAGATGAGCCCCCGTCGAGGCCCTCCTCCACCTCACCCCGGTAGAGTCAGCAGGGGGAGCAGCCGTGCACGCAACATGTCTATGGGTCACCCACACAGAGGAGGGTAAGAGATGGAAATAAATGAAATGCGGCACGGCACTCTCTTTTTCTATCGGTATCCTGCTTTTCTATTTCTTTCATACACAAACAAGTCATTTAATAACGTGTAGCCACTTAATATAATGTTTGTATTTATGTAAGAACCTAAAAATTACACCTGTCATATTGTTAATGAGTAATATAGATACAATCTTGTTAGTTACTTTACTGACCACAACAGTGTCAAATGACTGCATGATCCTTCTCATCAGTTTGAAGTTGAGAGTCCTTTTACTCCTGCAAACCTTGAGTTTGATATTTTAGACGTTGGCGCTGTTCAGTGTTTCTCTTTTGGAATTCACGTTCAGCTGCTCATTTTCCATTTGCAGGAATTCTGTTCACAAATTTGTTGGCCTCTTTTTTTCATGTATAATTCATAGGATTATCTCAGTCCACTGTTATGCATGCAATTCGGGGTCACACCTATAAATTTTTGTATTCATGTTCATCATTCCATTTATTTTATGTGCTCATCACTGTATGTCTGGGTGTGTTTGTGTCTTTTTTTCCCCATTGCCATCTTGCCCACAGAGATGATCGTTACTATGACTCGTACCGTGGCTCAGATGACAGGTCAACGTAAGTTTCTGTCCCCATCCTCCGTCTAAACCCCCTAACCAATCTTTTAACAGGGATACTTTGACATTCAAATATTCTGTTTTTAAAAAAAAAAAAAAGATTTTTAAGATTTTTTTGTACCTGAACTTGCTACAATATAGTTGCTCTAATTTACTGAAACAAAGATTTGGCATTATTACCATCAATTGGGGCTTCCAGTGGAGCAGCATTTTACCCTTTGGTCTTTGTGAGGAGTTAAATCATTTACTAGTGCTGACGGGTGTTCAGCATATCCTCCATACACAAATGTGGCAAGAATGCAATCATGATGGATAAACATTCATTTGTACTTGTTGAGGTATCCCTACACATCCTCTGTTTACTTTCCTTACGTCTTTATCGTTGCAGTTTTTTTCGAATGTGCCTGATTATCCACTTATTCTCATAGCTCATGAGAAAATGACTCTTTCTAAACCTTTGCCTACCTGTCATATCCCTAACCCTTGATAGTAATTGTTGCCTTGCAAACATCCATTTCTCTCTAGCCTGTTTGCCTGTAATGCCCTAGCCTGCACATGTACCATACCCTATTCCCCTAAAAAAAAAAAAAAAAAGGAACTGTAGTAATATTGTATGACCTCCTCTTTCCTTTGTTTGTAACCTCCCTAAATCTCCTATACAGTCCCAGTATTTTCCAGGTTGAGAGAATTAATTTGTGGTGGTGTGTATGAGGGTTATATGCTGTATTTACTGCATAACAGCATGCTTTCAGAAGATGCTTTGTAGTTAGACAATTTATTATGCTTCTGCACTGGCGACACATTTTCTGGTCATCCGTCCGTCCCATTCTGGACTTAATATCTCAGACGCCTTTATCAAGATCACTGGTGACCCGTGTTTTGGCTGTAACTCAAAAATGTGTATACTAATTATAACATACTATTCAAACAGGATATAATGATGTTTTCTAGCCAAAGGTAAATTTAACTGTGACATAAGGTTCCACAAAAAACTCTTACACGCTTTAAATCAGCAATAAAAGAGTGTTTATTTTATAATGTGTACAGTTGGAGATTACAATTGTGGCATATTATAATATTAGTTTGTCCTTCGTGCTCAGTTTCATGTTCCTCATGGAAAGGACTAAAGATCTGACATACATTTCTTTTTGTCATTATTCTACATTGTGAATTTCTGTACCTCAAAATCAGAATGCTGTCATGTCCCAGCTGTCAGCTTTGTGCATAATGGAAATCAAAATGATATAAATATGGTACTGTTGGAAGAAAAGTGTCTTTTAAGCCAATTAAAATATACTTAATTTTGATTAGTATATGCAATGAAACATGGTTATCAATGAGTGATATGACATGAGCTGATTCCTTTATTTAAACAGAGTTTGAGGAGAAAAAAGCAGCAGCTCTCGGCTCTGATCATCACCACCACCTGTCACTCCTCTCACCATAACACTGTCAGAGCTGTTCCTGTTACTGTGTGGGAAGATGGCTGAGAGGAAATGTGTTTATACTGTAATCTTGCTCAGCATGTGTGTGCAGCTTGACCTAGACCAGAAATTTTCTTTGGAATATTGTCAACCATTTTTTTCTAAGCATTTTCTATTTCTCTCCACCCCCATCTCCCGTCTATCTCCCCCACCCCCCACCACACACCCACCTCCACCCACCCCCCCCCCAACCAACCAACCAACCATCCAATCAACCAACCAACCATCTCCCTGTGTGGCAATCTTTCGTCACCAGTGACAGAAGAAGCAGACCGGAACGCTATAGCGATAGCATGGTTAGTGACCCTTTCCTAAATGCATGAAGCTCTGGTACTAGCATCTCATTGGATGCCAGCGTCCGCAGTCTAGTGTTGTGGTTGGTCATAGCACCAGACAATATGCTTTGATTGTCTATTGTATGATCATGATAATAGTGTTTTATTGACAATACAAACGTAGCCATTTATTCGTGTGCACATACATGTGCACACACTCATCTGAGACCTGGCCATGCAGCCATGTTAGTTTTGGCGTGGTGTAAGCCGTCCCACCAAATGACCATAATCACCACAGCCGAAGAAACTCCATAATAATCAGCTATAATTGCCCTCTTACTGTGTACTTTTCATGGCCAGCCTGTATTTCCTGCAAAGAGAGGGAGGCTAGTGGGGGTGGCCTTGGTCGGTTGCTAGGCAATAATAACGCTTTGTTGACAGATTGGAAGGTCTCTCTCTCTCGCTCCCTCTCTCCCTCTCTGAGAGCTGGCAGGATACTGCCTGCTGTTGCTCAGCAACAGCTTTTTGAATTGCCTGTTGCCCTGGTGACAGCAGCAGCTGAATAGCAGGTGAAAATGGGGGCTGATGGAGATGCAAGGAGAGAAGGGGAGGGAGGGAGGGATGAGGAGGAGGAGTCTGGCTTATGGATGAAAACTGGGTGGCTTTTAGTTGAGTCTACTCCATGGAAGAGGCTGCTGCATCTATACGTTTATTCTTGCAACCCTCCGTCAATACACCTGGGATCTGTAGAATGATGAAAAGAATGGTCCGTACTGTGCATAACCTGTCTGTGTTTCTGTTTTTTACAGAGTGGAGGAGGATACGGTAAGTCCTCAGCCTCATGGTTTTTATCTCATTATATGGATAGTATTTTAATTTGTTGATGTGATGTGTATGACAAACTGGCTCATGGGACATTGATGCTAACTTGAAGGTGTTCTGCAAGATTGTGCTTTTTAATGAAACTAGTGGAATGACATTTACCTAAAATAAGTCTGTTAAAAACAAATGTTGAAGCTGGTATGTATATGTCATGAAACATTTTTAGGTCTTTTCAACATGTATAAGTCACATTTTGCATGCAGCATTGCACCTTATTTGTTTTTTACAAATCTTATAGAAATAACTTGTCAGTGTTTCTTCTTTCTTGTACATTAGACAACAGTTCTTCCTGGGATAGCTATCAGTCAGGTGAGTCTCTACACTTAGTTAACAAGTGTCATTAGAAGAATTTGCTGAGCCACGTGTGATAATGTGGACTGCCAAGTATTGATTTTCGATGCTCTACTTCTGGTTCTAATGTTTCTGCTCCTCCTCTTCTCCCCTGCTGATGTGTTGGTCTCGCTGTGTCCCCGCCCATCAGGTGGACGTGGCTCCTATAGTGACATGGGTGGTTCTGTCATCACCACACAAGTGACGATCCCTAAGGATGTGAGTAACTGAGAGCAACATAAGATAAAACTTAACACACCAAAGAAAGAGATGTTCTTCCACCACTACACCCTCGTGACATAAATGGGATTCAGTCAGACTTTAAGTCCAACATCACCATATATGATGTCATCTGAACACCCTCTTCAACCATATATGAATGACATTCAGTCATACACACCCCAACCAATGTTAGCAACAACCTTTATAGGGTTATTGATACCAATCATCACATCATCAAATTGTGTAAAAAGCATGTTCAGTGTTTAAGTGAGCAAATGGCACCATTTGATTTTCAGTTAAGCTTCTTATCTTTTCAAAATAACAGGTTTCCACAAAAGTCAAACCTTTATGAACGCTACACAAGTTGATGCTTACGTGAATGTTTTGGAGAGTTGCTTCTCAGACAAACCTGAATTAATATGTAAAAAAAGATTGAGCTGCTTTGAAAGTATTGCTGCCTTGCCAACATCAATTTTTGGCTGTGCTAATAAAAGGTCAGATCCTCCTAATCCTCACAAAACTGTGGAAATATGCTGAAGCTTTTTATGAGTTACTCTGCTTTCCTATTGGTTAAACACTAACAGGCTGTAGTGTTGTGCGGGTCAAGGGGTTTTATTACCCATACCCACCCGACCTTTTATGAGAGTCAATCTGTACCACCTGGCTCTTAAAAGTGTGTTAATCAACCACCTGAACCAACCAGACCTACAAAACACAAGCTCTCCCTCACATACGATGCATCATTTAGATCTTATCAGTGAATTCCAACATTATAGCAGCCTTCATATGTCTATACTGTCTTTGTACCATGGTCTAATGCATCATAAATTATAGTCTGGGTGCAGAAACGTGTTGTAGCTCTTCATATGCTCAGTGATGTAGATTATTGACAGCCAAGGGCACAAGTGGACCTGCAGCTTCTGCTGTATGAGAGAGAAAGACAAAAACTGATCACAATTTTCAAGTTATTAATAACTTGCAATCTAAAAATATTGAGTTAAAATGTGTTTAAAGCAATAACATTGATTGATAAAGTGGCATGATCGATTGACCTGACAATATCTCTTCATAGCTGCTTTATACAGTGTGACTACTTCGGGTCATTAAATCATTGCAGCCATATGAAGTCGTAGGATACATCTTAATTAACCTGCAGACTTCACTTAAGCTCATGAAGCTTTTTTGTTTGCAGTTATTCAGTTGTGTTTTAATCTTGAAAGGCTTCTAAATACTGATGCTGTCAAATCACATTTTCAGATATGTTGAGACAAACGCGAGGTAGAACAGAATTAACACTGAAAAAGCATTAAATGGCTGTGATCATATAAATGACCGTTTTTAAAATAGATTTTTAAAAATAGCAAAGCTGTGTGTTCACTTTTTGCTTGTCTGCATAATCCAACAAGCTCACTATTCTCCCCTCCACCAACAGCTGGCCGGCTCAATCATTGGTAAGGGAGGCCAGCGGATAAAACAGATCCGCCACGAGTCTGGAGCCTCCATCAAGATCGATGAACCTCTGGAAGGTTCAGAGGACCGCATCATCACCATCGTTGGCACCCAGGATCAGATCCAGAACGCCCAGTACCTTCTACAGAACAGGCAAGTTCTGACCTGGAGTCAGCGTATTACATAGACATTGATATTAGATGTAGATAATCTTGATTCAGCCACCTTGTTGTAGTTGAACCATTTTATCTCATCAGGTTAGTCTTCTTGGCGTCAAACCTTTGTTGAGCTGCATCATAAAAATAAGATTCTTGCCTTATTTTTCTCTTTCAATCGACTGAACCGCACATACATAGATTGTAGATTTAATTAAGATTGTAAATGCATGACTGGTTTTCTGAGATTGCATCCTGATACTAGTTAACCCACCTTTGGTTGGGTTATGCATTTCTCTTGCCTGCTGTCTCTTCTTAACTAACCCCCTTCCTTTCTTCCCCATGCAACCTGAAACTCGTTCAAACCTTCCTCTTACATGAAATGGCTCTGATGGAGGAGGCAAATTTAGTTAATGCTTACTGCGTAAGATTTTTTTAAAAGGGACAATGTGTTCGACATGCTTCATTGACTGTCACATTCGTCCAATGAATATGATTGATAGAAAAAACAAACGGCCTATCTTCCATCTAAGCCATTTCACTGTGAAGCAGGGAGTGGACTGACTCTTCCCCTGGCTGCTGCTGTGTGGAAGACTAGTGATTTTGTTGTTTTTAGTTAGATCAACTGACAACAAATCACAGTCTGCCAAATAGCACAGGCTTCTCCTCTTCTGTCTCCTTGGCAACCAGTAGGCACGTATAATACACAATACTTCCTCGTTGATGCTATCTGGGTTTAGCCCGAATGCTAATGCATCTGTAGACCTGCCGCCGCTGTCTCATGAGTAGTGTAGTGTTGCCATGGTAACCAACCCTGCTTCCCTCTCCCTTCACCACACCCCTCACCCCCCTCTCTCCTCTCCACCTCCCTTGCTGTCCCTCAGCCGCTGATGTCACATGTTGCTTTTCTTCCTCTTTCTGTCTTACTGTCTGTCTTCCCGCTCTGCCTCCATGTCCTTTTCCTCCTTAGACTTCCTCCTCCCACAGTTGCTTAGCTTTATATTTACTCTGTCCTTGACTTTTCAATCGCATTACTCTGCAGTGTGTATTCATTTATTTTTCCATTTTATTTTATATTTTCAGTGTGAAGCAGTACTCTGGTCATTTGCTGTAAGCCCAGGAGACTCAGATTGAAGAAGACCCAGACACCC